AATATAGGAACTTATTCTGGGTAATCACCAGGGATCCAGGTTTTCCGTTTCCCATGGAAAAATGGGAAAAAAACTGCGGAATTTCCCTTCTAAGCAAGAAAAACGCAGATTTTTCATTTTAACAGAGTTCCAGCCTGTAAGGGGTTGGGGGGAGCAGGAGGAGGGTGGTCAGGCAGAGGGTGCCATGTATATGCTCAGAAATGCACGTGGCCACCAGGTAGCTTGGAGAGCAGCTCTGGCAGGCAAGTTGGGGGGGGAGGGGGAGGGAATTGAGGCCCCCATAGGGAAGGAGGGAGTTGAGCTGGGGCTGCTTCCCAGCCCAGGTGGTATTTGGGGCCTGGAGCCATACGCAGCTGCAAGGCCCTAGCGGGGAGCAGAACAAATCCATAGGTGGCTCATTGCGGGGCTGGCTTCCCGCTGCTGTGTGCCCTCCCAAGGGGGCAGCGGGAGGCAGGTGCTCCTCAGATCTGTGTGTGGGGTCGGGGAGGGGACAGGGGTGGGCTGCCCAATGCAGGCTTGGGCTTCCTGCCCTACTGCTGTCCTCCCTCCAGGGTCTTTGCAGCCCAGCGGGACTTGGCATGGCAAGGCAAAGTGGGGCTGGGCGGGGAAGCACTTGGCTACTGAAAGTCCTGTACCACCCTGGCAAAGCACCCCTTGCCTGCCCGGCAGCAGCAAGGGGCACAACCGTGCGCTGACGCCCCTGCTGCTGCAGGGTGCCACAGGGCTTTTAGCAGCAAGGAGCTTCCCTTTCAGTCCCATTCTGCCTTGTTGTGCCTGGTCCTGTCTGCTGGGCTGTGGAGGCCCTTGCAGGGAGGGCAGCAGGGTGGGGAGCCTGAGCCCACAGTGGACCACCCCCCTTCACCCCCACCTGGACTCCACTCCAGCCATGCTACCAGTAGGGAAAAGGGAACTGGGCCACATGCTCTGCTTTACCGCAGCAGCTGTTGCCTCCCATATGCGGCAGCTGGGGCACAGATGCTGCTGTGGGGGGAAGGAGGCTGCAGACCCAGGTCTCTGGCCCTGTAGCCCTGTGCCCCCTCCGGCAGGTCTGGGGAGAGGGCTGTGGGTGGGGAGTGAGGGGCATCCGGGGGGCAGGGGAAGCTCTGATTTTTCCATTATAAAAAATCCAAAATCAAACACCAAAATTTATAGGTACTTCGAATTTATTGTATTATAGTGATTGAGGCACTGGTAGGCTTCGAAATTGCCTTCAAATTGTAAATTATATCAATAAAAAATTGTGTTCAATTGATACACACGTATAGCGGTGTTTCATTTTAATCATAAATTTGGGGTTTTTTAATTGGAGAATTTGCAATTTTTAAGCAGAAAAAAACAGAATCCCTGGTAATCACACAGTACCTGAAGAGCTTGAAGTGTAAACTAATGGGAGTACTCAGCTGAGTCTGGGTGTGGGTACTCTGTATGAAGAGAGAGAGTGACAACTCAGGCTACAAGAAAACATTCTGATTTTAGCTTTAAGTGTGTTAGGAAATTACAGGTTGGAATTGATGCAAGCAAATAGTATCTCTCACCTCTTCCGTTTTTCTTGAGTTTTCCTTCCCTGGTAAGTTTTCTGTGTCATTCAGTCCATACTTAAGTCCATTTGTGTTCAGGGCAACATTTAACTTATGCGTGTGCTAAAGTGTTGTGCTGAATAAGGATGCTTTCCTGAACCAGAGTTTAAATGCTATTTTTATGTTTGCTCTGAGGCAGTCTACTGCCTCAACTATCAAAATTAGCAAGTAGAATTATTGACATTTCGTTGGCAGCCTCATTCCAGTTAATGCTGATGTTGAATAGACTTTATGCAAGCTGACCATGCAAGAGACAGAAACGGGCTTGTGTTTGCTGTTTTGCTAGCTGTCTGTAGAATAAAACAGGTGCTGTGATGGTATGTAATACTTTTATATAATGCTTCTCCATCATAAATCTTAGAGAAGTTGTGAATACTTGACATGTTTCATTTTTGGATCTGTATACATGGGGAAATATGCAATTTTTGGAGGAAGATGAAAAATCTTGCTCCTTTCAACACTTCAGAAGGGAACAAAGGACTTCTGAGGTGGCCCTTTTAACAAGAGCAAGTGGAAGAGCTCAGCTTTCCACTTACAAATTATAATGTCTCATATGGGTGTAGACAGCCTCCTCCATTTCTACACCTTCATTTGTGAAACTAGATTAGTTTTCCTATGTATATATTCCAGAAGTCCCACCTCAGGAAGGAAAATGTCTGAGTTTATGTTCACATTTTCTGTGGAAATAAAAGAACTGGAGCTCAAAATAGTACTTGTGGTCTAAATCACAATGGGCTTTCATTTCTGAAGAGGTCTCTCAAATTATAGTGCCCCTCTTGTTTTTGAGAAAATTATTGCTTTGAATCCTTACGGGAAAAGCATTGTTGGGAATTTTGACAAAGGGTGATGTGTTCTGTATTGTCTGGAATTATGCACACACGACATCCGATCCGCTTTTTCATACAATGTTGTCAAGAGGTGGGGGGAGGGGTTGTTTTCTATATCTGACATTTTTCAAATTAGAGAATTATGAGCTCTAGCTAGTACCAAGCATAGCGCAAGCTAACACTGCTATGGCAACTTTCTCTTGTGTCGCACTGCTAATTCTTTTCAGTCTTGGCATACTGAAAGTGCCTATTGCTGTCTAGGCCTGTGCCCCCTATTGACCAGAGAGGGCATATCTAAATTAACGGATTAATGTTTATAATTAGAGTGAAGCCCTTAATCAGTAGTGCAGCCTTGCCTGGGAAAGGGGTGGCTGTGAACAGAATTATCTTTTCTGTTGGCCCAAGCTGACTGAGCTCTCCAGAACCAGCTAGAGGCCTGGCTTGGTTTGATGGTTAAATAATTTACTTGCACAGAAAGTTATAAACCCATCTGGTTATTATTATTAAACATTAACAGTTACAACATTATGTACAGATACTTACAGAGAGGTGGGGAAAGAAAGGGGAACAAACTGATGAGAGAGGGTGATACTTTATCAGACGTTTTGTCAGAGCAGTTAAGATCTCTGTCAGAGTAGTCCCTTCCAGGCAACCAAAGTGACAATTCAGGCTCTCCCACTCGCACATAGTTACTAACTCTCTTACTGCCACAAAATCTAGACATGTCTACAACAAGCGCTGACAGGACAAAAAGAAACAAAAATATGAACACCGCAAGCATCCAAACACCAAGACTAACTGGTATACACACATACATATGAACCAAACAAGGACCACTCAGAAATCCAGAAACAAAAGCTTAAAAAGAAAAAGAGCCTCCTTGCTTGGTTTAGAGAGTGTTTTCGCTCAATCTTTCCTCAGTCACACGTCAACACAATTCCCACAGGACCAGCACCAAGCACTTCACAAAAACATCTACAAATCCCCCCAGAGTACTGGTCCAGTTCCCTTTTGAGCTTGACCAGTCACCCCACTCACTCTAACCAATCGGAATTCTTTCACACTTATCATCAATCATCTTGTCAGTCATTCAATCGATACATTCTTTTTGTATCATTCTGTCAGCATGCATATCACCTCACAGGGTGAGAAACACCTTTTCCCACCAAACACTCACTTCTGGCAAGCTCACTACATTCTCACTTCAGTGAGCATGTATGTAGCCAGCAGGCTGAGAACTTAAAACTTATTACACCCTTGAAGACTGAAAAGTCCATCCCTTCTCGAAGATTCTTAAGTTCAAACAGCTGCGTATGCTTCATCACTCAAATTCAGCTGTGCATGTGTAACTAACAACAACAACAAACCATAATGAAAACCAAAGTTCACCCCATATAACTTTGTCTGTTTTTACAGTACCATCTCCTGCTTCAGTTCTGGACACATTCTGAGTACGGATGGTCCATATTTTGGTGCACCATATTTATCAAAGTTTTATTAAAAGTCTAAGCTGAAGTCATCAAGCACTTCATCACTGACCTGAACTTGGATATCAGTCTAGGTCTCTGAAAATTAATTTATTAACAAACTTATACGCTACTTATTCTATATTACCTTAAAAAGGCCTTGGTACAGAACAGTTATGGTGTCATCTACACCATAAATTAGAGTTGTGTTATAACTATGTTCAAGTATAACCGTATTGTGACCAGATGTCTTGACTCAGTTATAATTGAAGTGTAGGAAAAGCCTCAGTTTCTCAACCTTCCCTTAGTTGCCGTATTCCTGGTTGAAATGCTGAGTTCCTGGTTCTTAAATGGTTTTGACAACACATGTAATTCAGTCACTGTGAGGAATTGAAAATTTGCCTTTAGGTTATTCACATCACTTGTTGAAATGTAACATGTTTTATGAATGTTATTACTTAAAAATTTGATTTGCAGAGTGAAATGCAATGTGCTATGGTTATGGTTGGGTAATAAATAATCACCTGACAACTATTAATGAAACACACTGTTTTTATGATAATTTGATTCATCTGTGATCACTGGCAGAGACCTGAAAACTGCTCCACTTCCCCCTTCATAAGTATGAACTATCAGCCAAGTATCAGTTAAGTATCAGTCAGTGACCAAAATTAAAAACCCGAGCTAACAAGTAGGAATTATTTAGCTAAAACCTCCATGGCTTGACCATTTGGATCATGCAGTCAGAATGCCAGAAGAGGTTTAATCTCTTCCTCTACACAAGAAGACACAGATCAGGTATATTACTTAAATGTATGTCACACTAAATGAATAGCACTACCTTATTTACTCAAATCTAAGATGTCCCCCTAATTATATTCCAAATATGGTAAAATGTATACATTTGTCATAATTTTACAGGAGTAGAATCTAAGCATCAAATAGCTGTCTTGAATTCAACCCCTCCTCCCCTGCCATACTGTTTTAGCAGGGAAAGCAGTGGCTTGGGGGTTAGACACCAGTCTTCCCACCCCTCACCCCTGCCACTTTGTATGCAGATCTAAGATGAGAGGCTTTCTGCCTCTGGATACATTTTGATTTTTTTTTTAAATGCCTGTCCTTTCTTTCAGATAGGAATATGAACATTCTGCAGTACTGTCCCATCTCGGACTCGTGGACCAACTTTGAAGTGTGCGAAGTCCATGTTCGCAAACAACAGATGCTCTCTGTTGAGGAAACCATATACTTGGTAGGAGGTTGTATTCATGAACTGGGACCAAATCAAAAATCCAGCCAAAGTGAAGACATGTTAACGGTGCAGTCTTACAACATTGCCACCAGAGAATGGGTCTGCCTCAAGGAGAACACATCAAAATCAGGTCTTAACTTGACTTGTACTCTCCATAATGATGGGATCTACATCATGAGCAGAGACATTACTTTCTCCACAAGCTTGGAGCACCGGGTTTTTCTTATGTATAATATATTTACAGACAGTTGGGAGTCACTTAGACGCTTTCCAGCCTTTGGGCAAAATATGTTGATCTGCTCTATGTATTTGCCCAATGTGATAGAAGTGTAATTACATCAAGATTGTGTCAGTTTTTCAGGGGGAGGGGTTTGATTCCTTACCCATTTGTGGAACAACTATTGCTCTAAATCATTACCATTTACAAATGAAACATGGTTGCATAGCCTGGGCATAAAATACTGGTTCTATTTAGTGCAAAAGCCAGCACTAATGGAAAGGCTTCCAAGGTCTTGCAGGATTTCAGTTTAAAAGAATTTTAAAATGTAAAGAGTTTGACAGTGTTTGGCATCTGAACACATAGATTCATAGATGTAGGGTCGAAAGGTACCTTGTAGATCTTCTAGTCCGCCCCCCTGCCATGGGCAGGAGAGAAAACTGGGCTCAAATGACCCCAGCCAGGTAAACGTTGAGCCTCCTCTTGAAGACCCCCAGGGTAGGAGCCATCACCACTTCCCTTGGAAGTTGGTTCCAGATCCTAGCCTCCCTGGCTGTGAAGTAGTGCCTCCTGATGTCTAGTCTAAACCTACTCTCTAGCAACTTATGGCTGTTATTCCTTGTTACTCCACGAGGCGCTCGGGGGAACAAGGTCTCTTCCAAACCCTGCTGGTCCCCCTTAGTAAATTTATAGACAGCCACCAGGTCCCCCTCAGCCTTCTCTTGTGAAGGCTGAACTGGTTAAGGTCCTGTAGCCTCTCCTCATGGGGTCTGCCCTGCTGTCCCCGGGTCATGCAAGTGGCTGTCCTTTGGACCTTCTCAATACTGTCCACATCCCTCCTGAAGTGCAGGCCCTAGAACTGGACGCAGTACTCCTGCTGCAGCCTGACAAGTGTTGCATAGAGGGGGAGGATCACCTCCTTGGCCCTGCTTGTGATGCATCTGTGGATGCAGGATAAGGTACGGTTATCCCTACTGACCATGTTCTCGCATTGTCGGCCTATGTCCATCTTGGAGTCAACAATGACTCCAAGATCTCTTTCTGCCACCGTGCTTTCGAGAAGGGAGTTCTCCAGCCGTTAGGTATCCTGCTGGTTCCTACTGCCCAGGTGCAGCACCCTGCACTTATCAGTATTGGATCCCATCCTATTTTCATTTGCCCACCCCTGTAACCTGTCCAGGTCCTGCTGTAATCTGTCCTTCCCTTCTAGCGTGCCCACCTCACCCCAAATCTTGGTGTTGTATGCGAATTTAAACAGGCTGCTCTTCACTCTGTTGTCCAAGTTGCTAATAAAGAAATTGAACAGTGCAGGCCCAAGGACCGAGCCCTGGGGGACCCCACTGCCCACTTCCCTCCAGGTCGAAAATGACCCGTCCACCACCACTCTCTGAGTGCAACCCCTCAGCCAATTTGCAATCCATCTGACTGTAGGCATCAATACTGCAGTCACCTAGCTTTTTAATGAGAATGGGGTGGGAGACGGTGTCAAAGGCCTTCCTGAAGTCCAGAAAGGCTACGTCCACTGTGACACCTGCGTCCAGTGATTTTGTGACCTGATCATAGAAGGCAATCGGGTTCGTCTGACAGGACCTGCCCCTAATGAAACCATGCTGATTGCCCTTGAGCATCATCCCCACTGCTGGTCCATCATAGATGTGCTCCTTGATAAAGAGCTTCCCAGGATTGAAGTAAGACTAGTGGGCCTATAGTTGCCTGGGTCCTCCCTCTTTCCTTTTTTAAGATGGGGACCACATTGGCCCTCTTCCAGGCATCCGGCACCTGGCCAGAGCACCACAAGTGCTCGTAAAGCCATGCCAGGGGCCCCGTGATAACCCCTGCCAATTCCCTCAACACCCTGGGGTAGAGAGCATCTGGACCTGCTGATTTGAACACATCCAGCCCCTCCAGAAGTTCTCTAACCTGGTCCTCCCTGACCCTAGGCTTGGCAGAGTTTCTCCCGAGTCCGTCTTGAATCTCGGTAGGGGAGTCCCGGTCCCTGCACAAGAAAATAGACTAGAAAACACAAAGGCATTGCATTGGTATGTCAGTATAAGAACCCCAATGTGAAAGCTCATTGGTCTAGTTTTATACCCTCTTTCACTGAAATTCTTAGGGTAAACAAGCTGCACATGGTCAAAGTGAAGTTAGGTTTAAGATTATTTCTTTTAATAATCTGAAAGGCATCAAAGGTAAGGAATTCTTTTTAAATGCAGCTTTTATTCTGCAATGCCCTGTGACATGCTGTCACCTGTACATACTGTTAAATGCCTGTACACCAATGCTCGTAGCATGGGGAACAAACAGGAGTAACTCGCCCTCAGAATAGCTAGTTCAAATCCAGATGTCGTAGGGTTAACAGAGACGTGGTGGGACTCGTCCCATGACTGGGCAGTTAACATTAGGGGCTATAGGCTGGACAGGCGGGATAGAGAAGGCAGAAAAGGGGGGGGGGGTGGCACTTTATGTCAAGGAGCACTACACATCCTCTGCCAGCAGTATGGGGTCAGGGGAAGGGCGAGCTGAAGTGCTCTGGGTCAAGATCCAGGGGGGGCAAGGCGAGAGGGATTTGACGGTGGGGGTCTATTACAGACCCCCCAATCAGGAGGAGGAGCTGGACAGGGAATTTTCAGGCCAGCTTGCGGAGACACTAAAAGCAAGGGATGTAGTTGTCATGGGCGATTTTAATTACCCGGACATCTGCTGGGAGGAGCAGTCAGCCGGGACGGACCGCTCCAGGAGGTTCTTGGCCGAGTTGCAGGACCTCCACTTGATTCAGGAGGTGCACAGTCCCACCAGAGGAGATGCCCTGCTGGACCTGGTCCTGGCCGCAGGCGACGACCTGGTAAGAGGCCTCCAGGTCCTTGACCACCTGGGCAATAGTGATCATCGCGTGCTGGAATTCACCATCCAGCGTAGAGTGTCAAGGGCCCGCAGCAAGGTGGTAGCCCTAGACTTCAGGAGGGCCAACTTCAGTGAGATGAGGAGATTAGTGGGAGAGGAACTGGGGTCCTTGAGGGCAGAGGAACTCAGCGTCCAAGAGGAGTGGTCGTTCCTTAAGGAAACGATACTCGGGGCCCAAGGGGTGTCCATCCCGACAAGAAGCAAGGCGGGCAGGAGTGTCCAAAAGCCCCCCTGGCTCACCAAGGGTGTCCGGGAATGCCTGCTTGCCAAAAGGGTGGCGTACGCCCGGTGGAAGGGGGGTGTAATCTCCAAAGAGGAGTATACCTCCTCTGCTCGGGCCTGCAGGCGGGCTGTTAGGAAGGCCAAGGCGGAGATAGAGCTCGGATTAGCGTCCAGGATTAAGGATAACAAAAAGTCCTTTTTCAAATATATTGGGAGGATGAAGAAGGCGCCGGGTAATGTGGGGCCCCTGCAGGATATGCGGGGCAATCTGGTGGTTGCGTCAGAGGATAAAGCGGACCTCTTTAACCAATTCTTCACCTCCGTTTTCTTGTGCAGGGACCGGGACTTCCCTGCTGTGATAGAAGCCGGACGCGAGGGGATCGCCTTCAGACCTCAGGTTGGGGAGGACCGGGTTAGAGAGCTTCTGGAGGGGCTGGACGCGTTCAAGTCAGCGGGTCCGGATGCTCTCCACCCCAGGGTGCTGAGGGAGCTGGCTGGGGTTATTGCAGGGCCCCTGGCACGGCTCTACGAGCGATCGTGGTGCTTGGGCCAGGTGCCAGACGATTGGAAGGTAGCTAATGTGGTCCCCATCTTCAAAAAAGGGAAAAGGGAGGACCCGGGCAATTATAGGCCCGTCAGTCTTACCTCAATCCTGGGGAAGCTCTTTGAGAAGATCATCAAGGAGCACATTTGTGATGGGCCGGCATCCGAGATGATGCTCAGGGGCAATCAGCATGGATTTATTAGGGGGAGATCATGTCAGACCAACCTGATTGCCTTTTATGATCAGGTCACAAAGGCCATGGATGCAGGTGTCGCGGTGGATGTAGTCTTTCTGGACTTCAGCAAGGCCTTTGACACCGTCTCTCACCCCATCCTAATTAGTAAACTAGGCGACTGTGGCATAGATGCCTACACGGTCAGATGGATTGCAGATTGGCTGAAGGGTCGCACTCAGAGGGTGGTGGTGGATGGATCATATTCGACTTGGGGGGAGGTGGGTAGTGGAGTCCCTCAGGGCTCGGTCCTGGGCCCTGCGCTGTTCAATGTCTTCATCAGCGATCTTGATGTTGGGGTGGAGAGCAACCTGTTTAAATTCGCTGATGACACCAAAATTTGGGGGGAGGTGAGCACGCTAGCAGGGAGAGAGAGATTGCAGAAGGATCTGGATAGGTTACAGGGGTGGGCAGACAGGAACAGGATGCGTTTCAATACGGACAAGTGCAGGGTGCTGCACTTGGGTAGTAGGAACCAGCAGCACACTTATAAGATGGGGAGCTCCCTACTTGAGAGCACGGAGGCGGAAAGGGATCTTGGTGTCATTATTGACTCCAAGATGAACATGGGCCGACAATGCGAGGTCATGGTTGGCAGGGCTAACCGGACCTTGTCGTGCATCCACAGGTGCATCTCGAGTAGAGCCAGGGAGGTGATCCTCCCCCTCTATGCGACGCTGGTCAGGCCGCAGCTGGAGTATTGTGTCCAGTTCTGTGCGCCCCATTTCAGGAGGGATGTGGACAACATGGAGAGGGTCCAGAGGAGGGCCACCCGCATGATCCGGGGACAACAGGGCAGACCCTACAGTGAGAGACTGCGGGACCTGAACCTATTCAGCCTCCACAAGAGAAGGCTGAGGGGGGACCTGGTGACCGTCTATAAACTCACTAGGGGGATCCAGAAGGGTTTGGGGGAGACACTGTTTCCCCTAGCCCCCGCTGGCATAACAAGGAGTAATGGGCACAAGTTGATGGAGAGGAGGTACAGATTGGACATCCGAAAAAACTACTTCA